GGCGCCAATCTTACGGCCACCTACATCAACCTCTACCACGAAATGTTCACCCTTTGGACCTCTACTGATCATTGCCCAAGAGTCCTTGGGGTCCTTCCCTGACCACTCAGTCTCTAACTCTTCTAGGGCCTCAAACACATCTCTCGAACAGAGCGTCGGTGGGTCTGAATGTGTCTGCGGGGTGATACGTGGGTCACTAGCCTTGGCCAATGCCTGAAGTGGGGAAGGCAACGTTACCACTTCAGCGTGAGTAAGAGCGGCTAAAACTCCTACTGGCCCGAGGTGTTTCCCTGCGAAGTGCTCGCGAAAGCACCGCCAGAGCTCGAAGATAGTCCCACCACCGTTGGTGAGGCTACCTTCGTCAGGACTTTCTTGCCTCGACACGTTCGAGACGTGTGGCCATAGTTACCACAGTTCATGCACGTGCCCCTAGCAACTCGGTCCCTCCACACCTCATACTCTAAACCAAGTTTTACCCATCCGGGTGTTCCTTGGTCGCCCTGACCCGTGGACCGTACTACCTTCTTTTTCCCGGTCCCCCTAGCCTTTTCCTTGATAGGTGCCACAACTCCCCCATCCGAAGTCTCACTGGCCCCATCATGCTCTGTCTCCTCCCCAAGATCTGGGAAGTCGTCAATTTCAGTTGCCTGACCATCGTGGTCGACAAACATTAGCTGACCTTTCTTCTTCTAGTCCTGAGGTAGCCGCTTTTTCCTACCATCTCCCTGACTATGATGCGCAAATCCCAATTTTACCTCTATGTCCAAGGCTTTCTTGCTGAAAGAGGCGAAGTTGTGCTGATCGACATAAGCCTCATCTACCAGCTTTGTCCTTACCTCTGAAGGCAGACATCTGAGGTAATCTGTAAGGAGTACCTGCTGGTCATAACGCACACCAGGTACCACGAGCAGATGTTCTACAGTATCCGTTAGCTCTCTAACATTCTTGTACCGTCTGGCACAAAGACTGTTGATAGCGGCAGTGGCCTTTTGAGCCCCTTGCGGGTCATGCCACCTGTTGTACACGGACTGTACGAACTGTTCCAATGTCTGGGCCTGGGCCCAGGCATCGAAGTTCTGACCGTAGCCCTGCTGCACTAGGCCATTCAACCAACGGGCTGCTGACCCTTCTAAAAAGGAGGCAGCCACAACAACTTCCTGCTCTGGCCTGGTAAGTTTGTGCCTTACATAGGTAGGCGCCGTCCTTACCCAGGTATCCAAATCCTCGTCCTTCTTTCTGTCGCCGGAGAAGGGCTTAGGACTCAGCAAGGGTATTTTGGGCATCCACTGCATAGGCTGCATGGGCCCAGGGGCCTGCTGCAGTGGCTGCATGGCCACCGAAACAGGTTGTTGCACACTAACCTGGGCCTGGCTTGACAGTGGGACTGTAGTGACCACTGTCGTGGATGGTACGGCTGAGACTCTATGAACCGGACCACTAGTTGCTACCAAACCACCTGGAGGGGGCATGCCAAACATAGGTGAGAATTGGGGCCCTACCGGTGGCAGCGTCACAAATGGACCTGCACCTGAAGGGGGAACTACAGCAAACTGAGGCTGCCTCATCATGGGACGAGGAACCCGTAGTGCAGCCAGAATCTCCTTCTGGCCTGCCGCTAGTTCAGCCAGCACTTCCTGCTGGACAGCCTGCGCTTCCGCCACACAAAGAAGCGAGTTACGCAACGCTCGTATCGCAGGATCAAGCGTTGACTCATCTAGTGCTTCCAATCTGCCTAGCTCCTCTCTTCTACTACCTAGTCTAGCTTTCCTCATGATTGCTCTCCTTCTTCTCTCTGCTGCCTCATCCAATTGCCACTGTAGCTCATCCTGAAGTTCTTCTGCTTGGAGGATTTCATAATCCTCCGGTGTGAGTTGAGTCTGCTAGCTGACTCGCAAGCCGGCACTCTGGCTAATGGACCCCTGGGAACCACTTTGACTAACTGACGAAGTGGCCGATGAAGAAGCCTGCGACATGGTAGAGGAAGTGGCCATGGTTGTACCAGTGCTAGCTATGGTTCTAGACCTGGCGCTATCCTCAGCCAGTCTCTCTCTCCTTGCCGCTGCTCTCTCTCTAGCCTCTCTCCTCAATCTCCTCTCATCTCCTGGACCTAACTCTAGGAAAGTCAAAGGTTGACTGTGAGCAGTTCCACGAGTAGTCCTACGGTCGTCCACTAACAATTCCTCCTCACTAGTGCTTGCATCGCTCATGAGCTACAGTGTGTGTGATCTAAACTAGAATCCACACTGAATCCTACCTTAGCCTGACACACAACCGAGTATAATTCACAACTAATTTCGGTCAGCCTGAACAGAAACAGTTAAGTGATGTAGTAATAACTAATGTCAGATCCTACAGGAAATATTATATCTATTTTTAGATTACCCTAGAACAGATTGCAATGCAGCAAAGAACTAATCTGTCTGCAGCTGTCTGTCAGTTGTTTGTCAAGTTTGTAACAACTAGGTAATCAAAAATAAAAATAACATCTCCTGTTGGAGATGTATGCTGAATGGCAGATTGTCTATTGATTGCCACTGTGAACTGTTACCGGAATCCCCCCTCCCCGTGTCCTTCTTGAGTAGTCGCTTTGTGTCAACGTCCTGAGCATCTGGTTGAGCAGTTTGGCTGAAGGTGTGCAATCCGGCCCACCCCTGTGCCCCAAGTCAAAGCCGAACCTGCCAGCCCCTGCACATTATTTACCCTCGCATGCAACGAGCCTTACACCCGGTTTGATCTGGCTGATCAGGAGGCATTTAAGGAGATCCCCGTTAACTCCTCAGGAATTATTTAACGTTGCAGATAGGACGACGATCACAGCCAGCGTCAACACCGAGTCCCCGCCAGAAATGTTTAAAGACGGTCTGGTAAGCGTCTGTCAAAGGGATGGCATGCCCTGCATGACCTCTATTGCGCAAGCAGCAGAACCAAGGACTTGCGGCAAAGCATGCGTGTACTAGTTCCATTGGGTTGGCATGGTGACCGTGACCCGAGTGCTTCGTCCAGGGCCCTTCAGAGGCTTCGCCCGTCTCCCACCAGCTTGCTGCCCAGGAAGAATGTCGACTCTCAAGGTTGAGCTCTCGCGACACCTCACATCGAGAGGACTCTCAAGACAGAACTCACTTCCTCACGGTAAGAAGTAACGAAGAGGGTAGATAAGAAAGAGAGCAACGTACCTCATAATGCTGCTCCCAACCACAGATTTCTCACCGGCAACCTGATGTGCAATTATGATGACCGGTCTTTGCCTCGGCACAACCAACAGCAGAATGCAGTTCCACCTCAGCTTAGTATGTCACATCAGCGAGCTCTCATCATCCAGCATACACCCCTTATGTCACCACATAGCTCCCTGGCGCACCCACACGACCCTGGGCCGCCATTCGTTCAACGCCCAAGCCTTATCACTGCCCCACACCTCATGCGAAGCACCGAACAGCTATTGCGAAGAACCAATGAAGCGCAATATGAACCAGCTCTGATACCAAATTGCAAGGAAAATAAGCAACACCGAGATGACAAATTCCAGATTACACCATCACGTTGAAAGCCAGATAGTCACACTGTGTCCAGAGAGCAGCATTGCACCAATAATACACCAATGGAGGTTCGCAGTACTGAAAACCAATGTCAAGGAGAGCTTCTCTCTCTCCGCCACAACACAAGAGTCCAGTCCCTTCACACGCCTACTTGGCGCTCAGCGCCCAGCCTACTCCTACACAGCTACGATCAGCCTACAAATAGACAATGCAACTGTCGACATCAGCGGCAACCCGAAGTACTTGAAGATGTCGCCCAAATGCAGACCATCGCCAATACAAGGTATGTGCCCTCACATCATCATCATCATCATCCTTCGCCCTTCCCTGACTTTACACCCACGTCTTCCTCCCTTACACCCGAAGACCACCCATGCGCCTCACTGTAGTC